AGCAGCAGGCAGCAAAGGCAGAGAAGGAAAATGTCTTCAGAAACCTCATATCCCCTCCACAGCATTCCAGCTTTCAGACACTCAGACTTGCTCTCCCCCTCTCGCAGCACCAGCAGAGTCTGGCCATTTGTGACCACTGTTCCAGCTTCTAAAGGTTCGTAGCAGCTTCCTGTGGCATTCTCCAGGAGGTCCAAGAGTTTGCAAAAACCAAGCCATAGTCCACCGGCCACCGCAAGCCGTGAGAGGTGGCGGATGGAGAGAGACAGGGAACGACGGATGGAAAAGGAGAGGAGGAAAACAAAAGAGCCAACAAAGATGCAGGTCCAACCCCAACCAGAGTGCAAGAACATCCTGGAAGAAGGAGAACAGAGATGAGAGCAGTGGAGACAGGACGTGATGGAAGAAGAAATTATATAGACTGAATATGAAATATTAAATATCAGGACAGAACAAAGTTGACAGGAAGTGTAACAGGAAGCAGTCTCACCTGTAGAGGAAGTGACTCTTCTTGGCAAAGATGCTGTGGTGAGACACCCAAAGACTCAGCATGGGACCGAACATCACGAGTGCTGACAACAACAGGTGGAAGTGCCGCCGGAACAAGGTGGTACCCATAAACCTGGCTGCCAGGTCTGTCAGGACTACAAGGACTGTGCTGAGGAACATTTGGACCAAAATGCTGACTGAATTTCAAATAATATACAAAAGCCACCTGCTGCTCGCTTTGAATGCAGCAGTGTGTTTGTGCAGATTATCCACCTCAGACACTACAGTGTTCACCGTTTCATGTGATGAATCTGTAATCCTCTACAGAATGCATGTAACGCTAACCACACATTACATTTGCAGAAGAATTCAAGAAGAAACAAGAAGAATTCACCATCTTATGTAGTCCAGGAGATAGCAGCAAGGACCAGACAAATGCAAATGCACAATAAAGTCACTGAATTTGGGGAAACAAACAGCAGTTTTCAAAGATTAGATCCATTGGAGCATGATTATTAATGATGATTGATCCTCCAGAAATCCACTGTTGCTTAGGGATGTGATAAAAGTCCACTAATGTTAGCTGCTGTGATGTTAGTATTCACTTCCAGGGATATGTATGAATGAATTGACAACTGGCTTTTGACAACCCATGAAATCCAGCCCTAAAATTCTTCAGTCCAGCAGGCACTTCTACTGAGTCAGGGGAGTTTGCTGTTCTCCATTCACAGCTTTAGTTCAGAGCTGAGTGAGCTTCTGTTGAAGAAGTTCTCTCCTTCCTGGTTTCCTGCCATGCGACTGTGAGACTGTGCGTTTGTCACTGGTCACGCCTGCACTGATTCTTCAAAAATGCTCAGGGACATCCCATAGTTGTAGCTCCAGAATACTCTTCTGCTATCTTCAGTGTAACAGTAGCTTCTCCCTCAGTGCTCTTGTCATTCACAACCACCCAATATGTGCATAGTGTGCTCTTACCCGGTCATATGTATCCTGGGCCTTGAAGGTGTCACATTGCTCATATTGGAGTAGCTGAAGGTCGAACCACTGACATGGATTCCTTGACAGTAAGATGGATATCATAGGGTTTCAGGTTATTCACATTAATGCAAAGCAAAGTTAAAGGGTGAGAGTAAACTGAGCAATGCTGACTTGAGCAGCGTCATGAACCAGAAGTGACATCAGTTAAATTAAATGTGTCACATTATGTGTGTGTTTGTATGTGTCCTGGTGTATTAATAGCTATAACCTTTGTACTGTATCTGAGCTGAGGCTCAGCTGCTGTAGAAGTCTGTCTCTGTCAATCACTTGCTGTCCTTTCTCACTCTCCGCAGTCTGCTGTCATTCTGTTTCATTTCGTTTCTTTAATTGAGCCAAATTGACTAAGGCACTTCTGTCCTCTCAGCACCCAGTCACTTAAAGTCCACAGAGCTCTCTCTGTAACAATTTCTGTTATACACAGTGATCCTTCAACTCTTAGTGGCTCTTACATCATACCAATAAATGGCATTATTATTATTATTGTTATTATTATTATTATTGTTATCACGTTGTACTGTTGTGCTGTTTTAGCATCTAAATAAGTCCAGTTTTTCTTATTTGTTTCTTATAATTTCATCTGCATTGGTTGTTATTAAGTCTTTGTTTTTGTTTACTTTTTAAATATATAGCTGTTTTGCTTTTTGGTCAGATTAATTTTCAGTTATATTCATACTCCATATCAACTGTATGCCATTCTGTAAACTTCACTTTCATTTTAAGCAGCACTAGATCTTTCCTGCTTAGCAGTCTCAGTGTTGTTGCATTAATCACTTACAGTCAATAGCTTTGTCTTCAATGTAGACTTCATAGAAAATTAGTTCTGATAAATTCAATATTTTGGGAAATACATTACATAACTGTAACCAGCATCTCATGAGCAGGCTTTGTTGATGAAATCCATGACATGAAAGGATCTGAATCACACTTTTTGATACCTGACCAAGACTATGTTTAGTGTGCTGAGTAAGTTACAAAACATGTTTGTGTTCTAGGAGGAGTATCGTTACCACAGTATTCCCCCTCTGTCTTTTTATGTCACTGTAACTCTTTCAGCATGTTCTGTTTTAAGCCCTTGTTCAAGATTGGTGCCTACTGTCAGTCCTGCCTCCTGTACTGAACCAATGGTCCAGTGCAATCCTCCAATGAAGCTGGACAGCCATATGTCAAGACAACACTTAATGCATCATTAAGATTAGTCTGCTAGAAGCAATGAATAGTGGATAAGCTCCGATGAATGGATAAACAATTAAAATAGAAAGCTTCAACTATAGTTTTATAGTTTTTGTAAGCATAAAAAAATGATGAGAACTCAATCAGCCACTGAAATATGTTCAGTATTTTTATTTACTCTCATTGTATTACCTAAACTAATGTCTCTATTAGTGTGTGTGTTTCTGTGTTATGTGTTGTTACACTGTAACACCGTCTGATTTACAGGAGTATAATTTTACACAGACTGCCACATCTCTCTGCACTCTCTTATCTGTTCAATATTAAAAGTATACTCAGTAAAGTATTAAAAACACTTTATCTGAGATGTGGCAAATTCTTTTGTTACAGCAGTTGAAATGATGATGAAATCAGGTTCATCTTCCTTTAACTTATTATTTGACCATTCATCTGCATTGTTACTTCTATCCCGAGCAGCTCCACCATCGTGAGATGAAGAAGAGTTTGAGATTCTTTTTTCCACATGATTGCAAACAACAACGTTTGTAAGATAGGTAATTCAGAGAGGTCGATTCAGTGGCGCAGTCTGTAGCGCAACAGCACTCCCAAGAGCAACACGGAGCCCCTCTGTGCTTGGATTTCATTATTGTAGTGCTGCTGACACCTACAGGAAAAGCTTTTCTTTACTTGAAAGAATCCCCCACCCCACCCGTCTTAAAAAAATGTGGATTATTGAGAGTCAATGAGAACCATTATCTTGTTGTTAGAGCTACGCTTTTTTAATATTCAGTTTGGAGAACTGGAGTTTTGACTGAAGAGCGATCTGTTGAAGGCTATTTGTATTTAAATACGCATTATTGGGCAATGAACATTAGCCTAAAATTAAATATGGAGAAATGTTGTTTTGAGACTGTCATGGTCCATCTATTTATACAGAGCACAGCAACAGTCACCTCAAGGGGCTTTATATTGTAAGGTAGACCCTACAATAATACATACATGTTTTTTATGTCCTTGTTTAAACATGTGCTGTGGTGTGGTCTCACTTTGCTTGTGACTTCTTCATGTTTAGAAATATAATGAATAAAAAAAACACATTATATATAATAATGCAAAGCACAATCTTATAATAGCCTCCACATGCTCATGTGATCGACCAGTGGACAGGTACATTTATATATAATATATTAGAACTTATATGTATAGTGTATGCTGTTGAATTGGGGGTGAACAAAAACCCTGCCACTCTGTGGATCAGCTGAGACATAACAGTTTACTGCAACAGGTGTAATAGTCACAGTCACTTTCATGTAACAAGTAATGGACAGTATGGACCCTAAACATAACCTGAACTCAAACAAGCCTTCACCAGTCTGGTGATTTTCATTAAGTAAACTTGGTTTGTGCCCCCAAAGGAGGATGGATCCCTAAAATATGACTATA